CCCCACTCTCCGGCCCCTCCTCCGCGCCCGCGGGCCTCGGCCACCGCCTCCGCAGCGCCACCGCCCGCCCGGCCGCGCTGCGCGCCGAGCCCGGGCGGCCGCGCTCCTCTCCGGCCGCGGCGCCTCCGGGAAGCCCCTCCCCGGGGTCCGCCCGCCTGCAGCCGCGCCCTTGTCACTCGGAGCCCGCCTGGCGACTGGTGCGAGTCAGACCCGCGGCTCCCTCACGCCAGCCCTCCGTCAGCCCCCTCTGCGGTTCTCAACCTCACTCTAGGCCCACTCGGCCAAAAACATACGTTTTGAAAAAGATCCCAACACCGAAAGAGGATTAAAATGCGGAAGCAGGATTTTACAGGCCATTCCAGATCCCGCGTCCTAATTCCCCCTTCCGCCCCTTTAGGATCTGTTTCTTGGCAGTTTTTTTAAGGGTCCAAAAATAAGAAAAGGTGAAATGCTTAGTCGAATAAACTATTTCCATCTAAAATAGGTCCTTCCCGTTCCCTCAACAAAAGACTCAAGAGAACTGTAAAATCAGGGTAAAGAACGGGGAAAAGGCCCTCTAGGAAATTTTTCAAGAGCATTTCTACAGTTCAAAACCCTGTAATTGTGCAGTTTGCCCACCTCTGCGTTGATAATTCTCCATCAGGTTAATCAGTCCCACCCTCAAAGACTAGTTTCCTCCTTGGAGACTAGGAAATCAACAGAAGTGTTTATTTCAACCCTCGTAATCATAGAACCATAGAAATCTAAAGATGAAAGAAACTTAGAAATCCTTAGTCCAAACTCTTACCCTAAAACAGGAGTTCAGAGAGGTTTCGGTGATGTCACCAAGGTTATTCAGCAAAGCCCTGGTCTCCACTCCCTCTCTCCTTTTCCCCAGGAAACAATTGACCTTCTGAATACCTATCATTCAAAGTTAATTGGTTCTGAATTAATGTCTAGCCTTTTGGAATGAAAACACCTTTCTCTCCGGGATGGAAGTGTTCGTTCTTTGTTTCCTTCATCGTCTTCACTAGGAGGATTGAATTTACCACCTATGTATTTATCCCCAGACATTTTCTATTGTAGTAACTGGGGCAGGGCAAAGGGAGTGGCAAGTTACTGCATATATAATACTTTACTTTTATTCCCTGATGCTTTTTAAACTGGGAGAAGAGTGTTTTGGAGAATGCCTTTAAAAGAAAAAAGGAGAGTATGCCCTGAGGTCATTGGAAATGACATTTTGGAATGACAGTTGTTTTCTTCAAGATAGGGAGCATAACCAGTTGAAAAGTCTTCCAAAATAGAAAAACAAAAGAATGACTGTTTATCAGAGAGATAGCAGCATATGAACCATTCCTTTTTACTTAGTATTTAGATACTTTTGATTAAAAAAAAAAAAAAGTGATGGTCAAAGGAACCAAAAAAGGAGAAAGTTACAATGATAGAAAAATCTATCGGAGAAACGGGAAATTTTCCACTAAAATTTCAAATTTTCAGAATTTTTGCAAGCATTTCTTTAGGCCATCTCTAATGGAGGCTTCCGTTCTCCATATCTGTCGCATTGCTACATCTGTGAAGAGGCTGAAAAGGGGGAGGAACAATTTTTTTTCCCGTTCTATCCCTAAACAATGGTACTCACTGCACTATAAATTCCAGGAGGGGATTCTGTCGTCTTTTTTTACCAGTACATTGCCAATGTTTAACACAGTCCTTGACTTAAGTAAGTGCTTTACTAAGTAAGTTCTAAGTAAATGTTGCTAAATGAGTAAATGAACATAAATTCAAGCCCTCCCCCACTTTATACCTATTATCTCCTAACTTAATCTCTTTACCTCTAATCTCTTCCCCCTCGAATCCACTCTAAACACAAACATCTGGATAGTTTTTCTAAGTCCCTTATTGAGCCATTTTATTAAGTTTGTAAAAAAAGAAAAAAAGGAAAATTTCTCATAATGCTAAACTCTTTTAAAATGCAGGCTACTGAATTGTATATGGAAAAAATTAATTATGCATAAAGATAGTACCCAAAAATTCAATAATCTTTTCATTAAAAATATTACCTAAATACTCACTATGTACCAGGCACTCTGTTATGCTTTGAGGATATAATGGTGAAAAGGGAGACACCCTGTGGGCCTATGCTCTCAAGAAAGTTGGCTTTTATTCAATTAATTACAATATTAATAAGCATTATGAAAAAGATGTACAGGGTGCAATGAGAGAATAGGAGGACCTAACTAAATGGGAGGGCGAGGAAGCCATAGAAAGCCTGGATTGCTTCTCATCCTCCGGGACTCAACTAAACACTTCCTCGAGGAAGAATCTTCTGACTTCCCTGACTAAGCCAAATTCCCATATGATAGCTTTCCTTTGTAGCATTTATCTATGCTATAATTTTAAATTTATTTTCCAGTTATTTGATTAATGTCTACCTTTTCCACTAAACTGAAAGCTCCATAAAAGTAAAGAGCACATCTTTTTTGTACTCCATTGTATTCCCAGCTCTAAGGCAGTGGTGCATAGTAGATGATCAACAGAACTGGCTACATCCAGGACCCAGTGTAAGATGAAAAAGCAGGGCCCATTGTTCAGGAATTATTGTTTCTAGGAGGATGACAGCAGAGCATTAAACCAAGCAAAGGGACCTTCTAAGCACAGGATCTGCGCAACTACACAAGTTGTATGAGTGAATTCATGAAGGAAAGTTGAGATCTGAAGTATACATAGGAATTAGACCAAACGGAGATAAGAGAGAACTGAGGCAGAAGAAAAGATATACGCAAAAGCCATATAGAAAAAAGGCAACACATGGGCCGGCCCATGGCTCACTTGGGAGAGTGTGGTGCTGATAACACCAAGGCTGCAGGTTCGGATCCTATATAGGGATGAACAGTTCGCTCACTTCGGAGAGCATGGTGCTGACAACACCAAGTCAAGGATTAAGATCCCCTTGCCGGTATCTTTAAAAACAAAAAAAAAGGCAACACAGAAATTTCAAGAAACTAAAAGAGAGTTTTTAGTCAGAGTGAAAGGATAAGTCCAAGTAGATGGGGGCAAAGGGAGAGACATGGGCCAGACTGGGATTTAGGACTTCATTCCATAAGCAAAGTAAACTACTAAAGGATTTAAGTAGAAACACCACATGATCAAAGCAGCCATTGCTCTTGGGTGTGAGAACCATGAGTGGGAACCACTTATTTTTCTTCTTTCTGCTTTTCCGTGTTTTTTGAATTTTCCTTCTAATGACTGCCAGTCTCATTCAGAGTAAAAGCTAAAAGCCTTACGGTGGCCTAAAATGGTAAGACCCTACTGGCGCACAAGGAACTCATCTATTTTCTGTCTGTTTACTCCAGCCACTCCTCCAGTTCCTCCAGTCACTCTCCCTCCCCCCTCAGATGACTAGATCACCTTCTGCCTGGAACACTCCCCAAGTATCCACCCACCTCCTTTTCACGTCCTTACTTAAATGTTATCTTATCACTGAAGCTTTCTTCAGCAAAAACCACCTGTGCTAAGTATACTCAAACTCCCTATCTTTATCTTTATCTCTTTCCTTAGGGTTTACTACCATCTCAGATACTATGGTATTATATTCTGTCCCTCCCTCCCACCTCTGGAAGGTAAGCTCCCTGAGGGCAGGAATTTTTTATCTGTTTTGTTAACTGCTTGATCCTCAGAGCCTAGAACAGACCCTAGCATACAGAAGGAACTCAATAAATATTTGTAAAATGACATAATGAATTTTCTGTTTAAGAAGTAAGAAGCCCTCCATAAACTCAGACTGCAAACACAATTGTTTGAAATCACCCAGACATGAAATCTAAGACCTCTTTCTTTCTCTTAGGTCTTCCTCCACTCTCACCCTCACCCCCACAAATTACTCCAGCCAAAGGAGACCAGTCTTCCTTGCACTTAACCCTGTGTTCCTTGCTGCCATTTTTCCTCACTGAACCACATATAGGTGTCAGGATACAGAAATGGCCCTCCACAGTCTCAGTAGATGATGCTGATGCTTCTGTACAAAACACTGAAAAACCTTGGAACTTTGTCAGAGCCTGAGTCATCAACTCATACTCCCCTTCCACAAGAAACTTGGTTTTTTCCCCTGCTCCAGATCCTATGTATCCTCCTTTCTCACCATTAGGCATTGGGGAAGTGAGAGATGGTATTTAGTCAACTAAAAAGAGCCCCTAACAACAAATTTCAAGGAGGAGACAAAGGCCTCTGTCTCGTCCCTCCCAG